GATTCGATTGATAGCATTGAACAAAGCCCGYTAACAATAGCTACCAATGCCGGAGCTACTTTAACTGAACCAACAAAAGCTGTTATTGCCAGAAAAAGAAAAGTGCAGAAGAATCCCGCTGGAAAGAAGAAAAATATCCGTGGTACAGTCGACCCAAATATTTCTGCATGGGAGAGAGTTAACGAGTTTAAGGATCAGCATCTTACTGTAGTGTCTGGTAAACTGAGATGCSACGTTTGTAAAGAAATTATATCAAAAAAGAAGAGCTCTGTTAAGAAGCATGTTGCATCTCAAAAGCATTTGAAGTCGAAGGATGCCTACCAAAAAGATAAAAAGAAAGATCAGAGCGTCAAAGTCCTTTTGGCGAAGATTAGCGATGGGAAAGGAGTAACATTACCCGAAGAGATGAGACTACATCGTTTTGAACTTGTTGAATATTTCTTAAAAGCAGGGATCCCACTTTTGAAAGTTGATATTCTGAGACCATTTCTTGAAAAGTATGGTCATCGCTTGACCTCCCGTACGCATTTGACAGAACTGATCCCTTTGGTTCTTAAGAAAGAGAAAGACCTTGTTAAATCTGAGATTGACAAAAACAATGCGTTTTCTGTGATTTTTGATGGCAGCACAAGGCTTGGAGAAGCATTAGCTATTGTTGTTACTATTGTTGATCAATGGAACATTCAACAGAGACTTGTGAAATTAGAAGTATTAGCAATGAGCATGAATGCAGCACAGCTTGCTCAGAGATTAATACAGTGCCTAGCTGTTGAGTTTTCAATTCAAGCCAATCAACTTTTTGCAGCAATGAGAGATGGTGCAGCAGTTAGTGAAGCAGGATTAAGACAAATTGGCTTTTTCTTTCCCAACATTCCCACTCATTTTGAATTCTTGTAATGTTGTGTACATTCAAATTGTGCACAATTTATTATGATGAGTACACCATGTATAATGTTACATTAACCTTTCTATTAAAAACATCATTTAGTTTATCTACAAAATAAAACTTCCTTACTAGAGTGGACATACTAAATCCGTGAAACAAATAGTACTAATTAATAATAAATAGTATTAATTAGACAATAAAATACAAAGGAGTTCAGCTTATTTATATTTATTATATACTATTTAACTTTCACAGATTAAGTGAGTTCACTCTAGTAGATAATATTACAGCAATCATAAATTAATGTTAATTATTAATATATTTTGACAGTTTGACATTTTTCAATCATACAGGAATTATAAATTAATATTAAATGCATTTTAATTGACAGTTTTGGAATTTTCAATCATGCAGAAATCATAAATTAATCATTATGTTCAAATGTTCAAACTTTTTGATCTTCTATGATTATGTTACAGTTTTTTGCTTACACCAAAATCATTTAATAAAMAGAAMATTASATGTTGYTTGAAGATATAATTTTTATCTTGAAGTTTTGAATKTATATCCATCGAGTGAGCACAATATTTCCATGCGACCATGTAATATCCTCTATTTAATCACACAGGAATGATAAATAATAACTATTTTGGTGGTTGATATTTTTCAATCATACAGTGATCATAAAAAAAAAATGATTAATGCAATTTGACAGTTTTGATGCAATGGTTTTTCAATCATTCAGGAAACATGAACACAGGAATAACACTAATCATCAATACATTTTTTTGTTGATATTTCTCAATCATACAGTGATAAATCAAATAAACATCAAGTCTCTAGCAGCTTTTTAAAATGCATTATAAAGATTATAAAGTAGCTTGCACACAAAATTCACACGTATTTTCATTGTCAACAAACTGATTTAAGCTTAATTGAGAAGTTTTGAAGTGTACAGGTGAAGATTTTCAAATTCAAAACCAAATTTAAAACTGCTTGTGTTGAATTGACATTAGAGCACCAAAAACCKCTTGACAGCTCCCATACTTAATAGTCATAATAATCTAACATACCACCACGGTATCGGACATACATGTATGTCAATTCTCCTCTTTGTGAAATTCTCCCTCAATAATTGTTGCCTTTGGCGTTCACTTGTTTCTGGATTTGCTTCAGTCACGTTTTCTCTCCCTTTAAAGCCTAGTGTGTTATTTTTCACTAAGACTTCTTCGGCGCTTTCTTTTTCTTCTTCTTGTCATTTCTTATTCAGATAAAGATCGCTTTCCATTAGCTACCCGTTGATTTTCGACATTTTTGGCTCAGAAGTGAAGTGATTCAAAGAAAAAATGGAGTTGTTTTCGTCGTTGGTGAAAAGTTGTTTTCAAAAATTGACGCGAGCGCGCTTCTTCTTCCCGCCAAAAGCTAGTAGCCAATCAGAATCGCGATGTACACGGACGGACGGACGTAAGGACAACTGGGCTTCCTGTGTCGGTTGATCAAAACTCAGCCCCATGGGTATACCATTTTTCCTTAGTTATGGTGCTCCGCTCCTCTCTGCTATAAAACTATTCCTCCCTGAAATTCCATTAAATATACAAAGAAAAACTAATTTCAGTTGTTATTGTCTTTTACATTGGAAAAACAACACACGTTTGCTTTCATAGCGTGAGTTAATGTAAAGAAAACAAAGCCTTCTTGAAGATGACATTTAGCGTGCCAAGAGAGATCACGCGAGATATCAGCGCACGTGCAGTAAGGGTCATATCGTATGTCTTTTAGTTTTTGCTGAACTCTCATTGGCCAGCGTCACATCAGTGGATGAGAGCGGGAAAATTTCAACATTGTCACAGGTATAGCCGGTTAATTGCATGAAGAGTTGACCTAAGTGCGCTCTTCAGTTTCATTGAGAAAAAACGTTATATCTTTCCAAAATGGCGACAAATTGTGCTTGCATCTACTTTGAGAGCGACCAAAGTGTGACGGTACTGCCGAAAACTCAGTGTATTCTAAGGGGGCCATTCACAGCAGGAGCTGAGGTGGAAGTTGATTGGAGAGGGGAAGATGGAAAAAAGCAAAGGCATATAGGACTGATTATTGCTACCAAAGAAAAAGGTAAGCCGATCTGGCTACATGTATATATGCATACGGTCCATATAGTAACAGAACCGATTGATCAATTTATTTTTGAATGCCAAAATCGTTAACTCATAGTGCTCCGCATGCCGTATTACATGGGAGAAATACTCAGTATGTTGCMTTAAAATCTTTAGTAAATACAACAGAAGGAAACAAAAATGTATTCATGTTGTACAGTTGAAAAAGAAATGAATCAATGTATAAATATTACTGCAAAGGATTTGTATCGGTTAGCTYGGCACAAAAAAGTTGGCGCCCATATTCAAATTTCGTATCAATGTAATTCAGTACGATGATATCCGGGACTTGACATTTTTTTGACATAAGCACGTTGACAAATACACTTACGAAGAGGCAGTGCTCTAGCTTCGAAATTTCTATTTGCTATAGTTTGAATTCATGTTTTCATTGCACAGATAAAGAACTGCTAGACAAGTATAGCAAATACGTTAGTCTAGAGATTAACAAGTKGTTAAAAGAGAAGAAACAGCCAAAAATTGAAATCCAAAAGCTAAAAAAGTTAAAAGAATTTAACCAGATTTCTGCCGAGAGTTCTGAGGATGGGGGAGAAGAGATGAAAAGAATGAGAAAACCAACAAAAGTAATGATTGAAAGCCAAGAGTCAGAAGAAGAAAAAGAAGAATGCAGCTCTAAAACAAAAAAACAAAAAAAACAGATGAATGCGAACCAAGAAAGAAAGGACCGCAGTCAGGAAAAAAAGTAAATGAAAAAGCTGGGACCGGCAAGTCCGCCTCAATTAAAAACATAGTGAAAAATGCGGAGAAACACTCAAGCATAGAAGCTTAAAAGGATATGCTTAACTGCATCAGCTCGTTAAACCAGAGTTTCCCCGAAAAACATTTAGATCACGCGGAAAAAACTCAGGGGCTGAATGACAGTCTGGACAGTGGCTGTATCAGCGACGACGAACTAGAAGCTATCATCGAGGAAAGGCCTCCTGTTGTCCTGCACGAATTGCAGCCTCCCAAAGTGCAGAAATCGAAATATACTATATCAGACGTCTACGCTGATGCAATGCAAACAGTGCACGACTTTGCTGTTAGCGAAACCAGGAAATCAAATGAACCTAATGAAAGCTGTAGCCGATGTAAAGAAATTGCCAAAGAGAAAAGGGAGCTTGAGGACGCCAACAAGCTTTTGCTCCTACAAATAAAGAAGCTAACTCGCGTATTTACCTCGCGTATTTACCTATTACGCGTGTAGTTTCAGCCTAAAATTATCAGGAGAAAAAAAAACCAGAAAATGCGCGAATTTCGAGAAAATGATAACTTATTTGGGATTTATCCCAGAATAGGGGCTAATATTTTTCACGTTTTCACAAATACATTCGAAATCGTAAAATATCAGTCCGTATTGATAAACTTGTGATTCATATAACTTGTAAATAGAAATACGTCTTGGGTAATAGCTTTTATAGCTATTTAAGCTGGAGTAATATTATTGTGTAATCCATTATTTTTAGYAAAATGAAAGCGAAATGTAAGGTATGCTGCTATATTAATTGTTTTATGTAGCTGTCATCACTGAAGTAAAAATCTGTGACGTCTGTCATAGTGTTTATTGATTTAAGTGTAACCTAAATGTTTCTACCATTGTACCCGTACGAAAAAGTCCGACCCGACATGAGCCTAACAACGGCCGGACAAATAAGCCGAACAAGAGCGTGATAGGCACCGAACAAGAGCAAAAGTAAGATAGCCTGACAAGAGCAAAAACGAGCATAACTGCAGCAATACATTAAACATGACAACAGCGTGAATTAGCCTGACAAGAGCCAAATATCCAAATCGCTTCATTCCGGCGACCATAGCRTGACAGGAGCGTGACAAGAGCGTGATATCAGCCAGACATGTCAATCATTTGCGAATATACGATAATCAGGCTGTATTCAGGCCTGATTCAGGCCATTTCCCACGAATTTAAATAGRCCATACAATAATATACGTCATGACTCAGCGTGTAAAAACATTTATTYATGATTATGAAATGGCTATGATCGCACCACGAACTCTGGCCTTATCTTTTGTGAGGCAATTTTTAAATGTATAAATACATAATTTCATCTGTCGGCAGCTACTGCGTTTAGATAATTATATTTTGGCCTCAAAATGTCTATGTGTTGACCTCTAAATTTACTATTATTTGTATATATGATCCAAAGTCAGTATCCATGCGATCCATGCAGTGTCTGAGTATTTTGATATACTATAAAGACTTAGCTGATCGGCGAAGCTTGACTCGAGCGTAGCTAATTTGGTTCGTTATGGCCTCGTTGATCTGCTTGTTTGTCAATTGCTCTTTCTTGTTTTCGATGCAGAAAGCAGTTACGTAATCTAGGAAAGCAAGGTGATATAAAAATAAGTTAATATAAAAATTTATCGAGAATCGAGCAGCTAAGAACGTCTGCTACCGGTGCTTTGATAACAGTCGGGCTATTTACTAGGTTGATTGACATCTATGTCATCAGAGGCAAACTATAATGATCAGTATTAAACAATTATAAATACCTTTACAAGCATTTATCCTTATTTGATCAAGAGGCTGTTTATTTTCAACGTTTGGCCCTTTCACTATCCCTTGGCCACGGGAGTTTGCCAGCTCTTCCGTTGAAAATATGCTTGCAATCAACCGGCTTATGAGGTGTGTTGGTCCTTTCTTTTGAGCTGTTGTTACATCGTTGCGCAAAGTGCTTCGGTCTACAAACACATCTGCCCCCTCTTTAAGACGTACAAGAGAATGGCTCTGTGATGACTGAAATGATAAATAGTGAATAGCGTTAAATATGCAAATAGCTGCAAATAGATATTCATGCATGGATATACATATGTATGTTATAAAATATAAAATACGTGAACGTTATGTGAATATATGGACTGAGATACTTAAGTATTGAATTCAGAAAAATAGATATGTCAGGTAAAAAGTGAAATAGGGATTATAGTGTTACTAAAGGCAGATGTGTAACGTTTAGGTAATACACTTGTATTGAACTTACATTATTGCTTGCTGTGGGATTTAGATTGGCTCTTATGKAAAACTCCTTTGTGACGGGATTTGGCAACACCGACAKAACTCCTTCACCARTGCCAGTGTAGCTATTTGCAAGCATCATAAGGAAATTTATTACTTCTGTTGAAGCAGCTGAAAATAATATTTAAGCTACTTTAATAACATTGTCCAATAGCAGCTATAGGCTAGATTTAGGTGCTTTGAGAGGATCCCGGCTTGTTAAACGCTGAGTTAGGAGAGAAAGGCAAAATAACGATAAAATTGAATGATTAAATTGAGGGGACTTGCTACCAAGGGAGGGACAAGCCATCTATTCTTAATCTAACAAGAGTAAAATAAGTAAACATACCAGGATGAGAACAAGTGGATTTGCTCTTTCGCAATTCTTCAATTTCTTTTTTGAGACTTTCATTTTCCTTTTTCAATTCTTCAATAACCCTAAATGGGTCATCAGAATTGCGTGGGCGAGGTTCCAAGACGGTTAACTCACTTGAGTTGACTTGATTAATGGGCGGCAGAGAGCTTTCAATTTCAAAGTCTTGAAGGGAATTATCCATTCCAAAACTGTTTGCAATACCGAGGGCCTCACGAAAGGTTTCAGCAGTATCTCTGAGGGTACAGGGAGTGCTTGGAGATACGGAAGGAGTCAAAGATGTCTGCAAGGAGGTAATAGTTGGTGYAGAAGCAAGCGACCTAGAGATGCTTATAGAGCTTGTATTTAAGTAGCGTGGCGAGGATGTCTGCAGGGAGGTAATAGCAGGCATTTCTGGTGCAGAAGTAAGTATGCTGTCCTGTGAAGTTGTGGAGTGCGTCAATTGGGAAGTAATGATGGTTGGCGAAGGGGCCTGTAGCAAATTTGAAGTACATACACCAGGCAAAGTCGTAGTGGATGATGATGGGAAGTTATGTAAAAATGTAGGGAGGTCGTTTAATATTTCKTTGGCGCCGTGGAGGGCTGATGACGCTTCTCCCTCTTTTTGTAGTTGCTTTTTAGTTTTCGTTCGCTGTTGCTTTGCCTCTGGTTTCTTCTTTGTGGCTTTTTTTGGGGGCGACATCTCTTCTTCCTGGTGCAAACTCTCTCTCATTAAAGGAGTTTGCTGCCTTTGCCGCTTTTGAGGTATTTCTTGGGCGTCAGATGACAATTGATTTTGTGCCACCTGAAGATTACATAGAAAATCCAGGTGGTCATTTGGGTTTTTCTTGTCCACCAACAATCCATGAATATGCTGTTCCACAAGTTCAGCATATTTTTCGAGCTCTTGTTTATGACCTGAAAGCGTGGAAGCCATCTTAGATTGAATAATAAACAAAATATTTATATTTAAAATTCCTGTTTATTTTGTAAGAAAACATCTGTGCTGACAAATTTAGACAATATCATTGTTTTCCATGTTACTATTCTCTGTATTCAATAGTAGTATAATTTCTCTAATATTTTTACGATTGCATTACACAGTGAAATGGGTTTCCTGTGTCGTTACATATATGTCGCTGGTGTCCACTCTCTCAGGCTTGTAACACCTGACGTACCTAGTAGGGACGGGCTCTCGCAGTTTAGTRYTWGMAAGTATTTGAAAATTACTTAAACGTTATAAGTCTCAATGGCCGCATTGTGCATAGCATAAAAATAAAATCGATGGAATTTACATTTRAAAAGTGAGGTTCAACTGTCTGTTCAACTGTTCGCACGCTTTCAACGAAGGCGCCAAAACATTAGCATAATTAGTTACCCGCCAAAATTTGAAATTTATAAGAGCTTACTGAGTATAAAAGATTGCTTACAAATAGMTGGATATCAGAAAATATATTTCAGAATAAACATAATATCCATYAATTTTCGTCGTTAAGGTTTGCAACAGCAATTTCTGATTTTTAGTTAACGTTCTACAGCAGTTCTACATCGGTTACAGCCGTTATGACTGTAGTTGAAGAAAGAGCATTTTGTGCTCATATAACAGTAGTATTATTGCATTGAATACACTGTCAGCCTCGAATAATGCATGTTCATGTAAAGTAAGTTATTTAGAAACCTTCTTACCTTTTTCTGCAACTTTTAGAATTTTGGCGATAAGTCTTTCCTTTTCACCGCTCTCATCCCTCCAATCTACTTCAACGTCYTYTTWMMWTYMAAARGKYC